TAGGTCGTATCCTGTGCTGCTGATCGTATGGTATGATAGCTACTAAAGTTCCATCGTATTCTCGTAGCAGGAGATTTTCAGTTGTTGATAGGTTGTGCTTGCTGCCTTTGGAGTGCTAAGAATCTGTTAGTATCTCGGATACAACTCACTATGATTGACGGCACTTGCAAATTGGATATCAAATTAATCCCCTCAAGTTCGAATTGTTATAATATAACTCCAATTTCACTGCATGATAGGTAAGAGGCACCTATTAAATTCGACCACATCGGTGAGCACAAGAGCTCTCGGCAATTTCAACTTTGAGTTCTCAGCCTGTCGACATAATTTCCCATGGGCGCCGCGAGTTTTAATACGGGAAGATGTCGATACGTTTCCTGAGCTCGCCGGAACTGTTTACGCGATTTCACGCGTGGCCTGGCGTGTGGCTTCGGCTGAGAAATGTTTTGAACAGATTCCTTACGTTTATATAACTCATTTATCGTATCTCGCGCAAACCATTCTCGATACCCATAGGGTTTTAACCCACAATTAGAAGGCACTTCCATAATCACAATAAACGCGATGCCTGTCATTGTTAAGTGCTCATAATTATAAAATTAAATTCGACTAAAGATTTATTATATTAATTTTTTAAAGTGCCTGCGATTCGTGAATCGAGGCGGTGGTCAAAGACGTGGGTTCGATTCCCACAGCAGCAAAAATCTTTTCGTACTTTTTTCTACATATTTTAATAGAAATTTATAATAACACAAACTTTAAACATATTATTTAACAATAAAATAGATTGTCCTAACCTGTTAAGTAAATTTAGATTCAATGTACCGAATAGGCTACCTAGAACCGAAATCCAACCATTGGTTCAACCTTTGCGCACAACAGTATTGGGCTCAAGCTCGTTTGTCCCCAGAGCGAGCCGACTTTTGAATAATTACGGAAAATCAACTGACATTCATGCTGTGTTAGTCTCAATACCTTTCGTAAGCACTTGCAAGAAACCATTGTCGATGAGTAGATTAGTCGTATAGCATATATATTTCTAATTAAGTGTCAAAAATTTTTAAAAACTCTTTTTTACTACCTTTTTTTTATTGTATTCTGTACACATTTCTTATTGTTAAGTTTATTGATGTTACTTGATATAATTCGCATGTGGTGTTTACCTTTAATTAATTGTGCATTTAGCTATAGAAATATATTGTGTACTAATTCTAATGAATGTATAAATGTAACAATTGCTGGTAAACCAAATAAATAAAATGAATAAATAAATAAATAACATAAACGAAAATATTCCCATCTGAGACCCTTTATGGGCAATGCGTAGTTTATTGATACCATGTTTTGGTATGTTTTAAAAAAGTAATTGCACGTATTGAATTTTGTTTGTATGTCTCAAATGAATTCTGTATCTTTCAATTTAGAAAGCTCTGTAAACATGGTCGCTGCAGACAAGACAAGTAGTCTTTACCATCCAAGTACTATCCCAATTAACGAACGATGTTTAAAACAAGTTAAGTTTCCCTAACGAGCCGCTATAGTATAAATAAATTCACTACATCAGCGTTGGATCCATCGTCCTGCCCACCCCATTACTCGTGCACGACGTGATCCCGTAGCGTGTCAGATTTGGAGCGGACGTGCTGTGGACTTGCGCACTCTGATCTCGTTTAACTTCTACAAGTTCGGCCCCATTTTATGTTCTACAACAAATAAGACACCGTTACTGCTTTCTCAGATGGGTGCCTATCTTTAGTACGCACTGATCGAAATTCTATTCCATACCACGCTGTGGTTAGTCCAATACCTCAGCTTACGCTATGGTGCTGCCCAGTGTCGTAAGAAAATGCGTAGTTAAGGAAATTGAGTATATTCAAATGACACAAGTTCAACATAGCCACAACGAGCGTTTTAAACTTTACTCAAGGGTAAACCTTAGTAATTTGAATAATTTGAATAATCATAAAATCTATTTTTTTTTATTTATTAGCAATCCTTCGAGAGGTGTTTCAGTATTTTTTAATACTCAGTATTCTTAAGGAAGAGCCAAATAAAAATAAGTATGCGAAGTGGCTTGAACACGAAAATAACGAATGTATTTTGCTTAGATCGGTTACGTATTCAAAATGATAAGAAAAGAAAATAAGTGACATCTCGGCGACAGATATAAGACAAGGAATGATGGCCCACGATTGTAATTGGGACATGGTTGTCTCAAAGACACATTATTCACACTAAAATTACCATTTTCTTACCTTCGGGTGGGGTAGTAGTCGAGCACAAACCAGTTTGTCAGCTAATTAAATTGAATAGCACAGTATTATTTGTTGACGACCCGCATGGCGTAGTGTTTAGTGTACCTGCCTCCTGCGCCAGAGGGTGTGGGTTCGATCCCCACTACTGGAATAATATAGTGTGATTAACATAGTGTTTTTCTAGTGTCTGGGAGTTTATATGTGTATATTATGTATTTATTTATAAAAGAAAAGTATGTTTACCCATAGTACAAGTGTTGCATAGTTCAGGATTAGAGTATGTTGTGGAAAAATATGTCCCAAAATATTTAAATATTTACTCGTCGACAAAATTTTTATCAGGAACATTCGACTACAAAACAAATGTCCAAGTGCGACTTAGTTAAGTTCCAGTTAAGTTAATCGCACTACTAGTTCACTTCCGGTGTAAGTACAAGCTAAGTTACACAGAGTAAACAATGTCCTCTGTTTAACATCTCGCGAATTCGAAGGATTAAAATTAAATCGCGAACAACAGTCGCCATTGTAATGTTGTCATGTGTTATTTACCGACCACAAAACGCACAGTATTTCAGTATTAAGAACGAGAATTCTCTCGTTTTACGTGACCTATATAGTGTTATCGAAGACCCAACGAAAATCAACATGTTAATAGTCACGGCGATGAATAATGTTGGTTAATTCCAACGCGAAATATATCCGCTTCATCCTATGCCTTTCTATGTTTAACTGTGGTAGGGCCAAGCAGCAGTCTTCTCTGTTGCACGGATGGGCAGGTCCGTCCGGGTAAGTACCACGACCTCGCAGAAGACCGGCGTTAAGTAGAAGTGTTATACTTCTGCGTTTCGTTTGGTGAGTTAGTTATCTGCGGCTTTTATTAAAAGGTGGCAACGCATCTAAGATTATCACTTAACATCAGGTGAACCGCCAGCTCGTTCGCCATCTTCTTACATAAGAAAAAGATGAATCCAACACCTTGAAGTCGTCCTCGTTACTTGATTTTCAATTTACTAGCTTAACACTTCTATCTCGATTAAGGAAAGAACGTGACTCATATGAAATTTAACAACATACTCGTCGGTGCCTGCTGTGATCGATAAGACGCACGTAGTAGTAGAGTATCAGCCTATACATGTCCCACTGCTGGGCAAAGGCCTCCTCTGTACATAGGGTATCAGGGCATAGTCCACCACGCGGCCCCACTCGGCTTGGAATTGGCGGACTTCATATATCCTCGAAATGTTTTTTTTGTTATTATTTCGAAAATATGCAGGTTTCCTCACGATGTCTTACTTCACCGCTGAGCGCGAGATTCGGCACTTAAAATTAACAATTTCATTGGTGCCTGCACCGGGGATCGAACTCAGATTTCTCGAGTATATTGAATTAAAGGCGAGCGCCCGGACACTGAGCTATCACGGCTACTAGGCACGTAGTAGTGGGACTGAATTTTTTAGAAGCCACCGATATAATCTGTCTGCCCGATGGAATCGCTCACGTCCGGCGTTGGGAGCTAGCTTCACATGGAATGCAATCAATCGAACCGATCGCGTAGAAATATCCGAAACACGACTATTGCTCGCACATCGCTGCTATCCAAGCTTGCGCGTTTTTCCCTTGCCGCCTACAATCAGTATTCATAGAAAGGTGTGTTTTGTGAAGCATTATATATAGAAAAGTGCATATAGTATATAGTATACTATTAACAGCCTTGGTTGAGGGTGTTACTAAATTTAGTCACAAGAAGCGACTATGGTTGCCTCTAATTCAAAGCGTGCTTCCTCTGGAAAAGTAATTATATGATACATGAACACATTATTTTAACGTTAGAAAAGCATTGACGAAATGGCTTGTGATTATAACAATACTATCCATCCGAAGGGAGGCATGCTTGCAGTTATTTATAAAATAGATAGCGCGAACGAAATTGTGCCGATTATTTTCGAAATAGATTGATCGATCAATCAATAAAGACGCGTCGGCTGAGTTTATACGCGTCTCGACAGCGTAAGGCAAATTTAAATAGACGCCTTACGCGTACGATACATTTGTCGGCGGAATTGCTTCGGGTATAATGCCAAGACATCGCTCGAATGCGCGCGAAAGTGGAATGATAACGCACTAATGTCATCGGTCTAGTTTCTTTTTTTTTACTCACGTCGATGAATGTCGTAAGAAGACATCAAGATTGTAATGTTACCAGATAACAATCGATTTGTGCGAGTGAGAGATTCAGGCGATAGATTAATCGATTTTAACTCGTCGAACACGCAAACAATAACTCTTTGTTTGCTCACCTTATTCACATTGCGATGAAATTCGAAACAATAATATTTATATTTACGGGGCACTTGTTAATCATACATTGTCCGTCCAACGTTATATTCAAGGAATATTATATGTGTCATGTTTTTATTAGTTTATTCGATGCTACCCGCAAAAACTGTCACAATAATCTGTGTCTTGGTAAAATACATCAGTTTGCAATAGTCCGTGTTTCATTCGATACATTACATTGGCGCAGTCGGTAGGATTTTGTTTAAAAAAAAAAAAAAAGAGATAGTACGTGTACTTTTTGGAGCAGCTACAATGCCTATTGGAAAGATTGAAACGTTTGAAGTCGGGACGCATAATTGGGATACGTATTGCAGAAGAATTAAACAGTTTATCGTACTCAATAACATTCCGGAAGAGTTACACGTGGCCACATTAGTGACTCACGTTGGGGTAACCTGTTACGAATTAATGTGTGACCTATGCGCGCCCGATTTACCTGAAGCAAAGTCTTTCGAAGAACTTGAGTTAATTGTGAAACTGCATCTCGAGCCACAACGATCGGAAATTGCAGAACGACATGTTTTCAGGCAACGAAAGCAAGTTTCGGGGGAGACCGTAAACGAGTATTTGCAATGTTTGAAACACTTAGCCAAGACTTGCAATTTTGGAACGACATTGGAAGTTAATTTGAGAGATCAATTTGTGTCCGGTCTCCTTCACGAGGATATGAGATCTAGACTTTTTGCTGAACGTGATTTGGATTATAAACGGGCGGTGGAACTAGCCCTGGCGTTAGAAGCGGCTGATAGGCATGCGGCAACGTCAGCGGTCAGCGGCAGCATTGCCACTGTTCCATCCGATGGCATCCATCGCGTGGCAGCGGTGGCAGGGAAGCGCGAGCTACATCGTGCGGCCGATGCGCGTGTTTCATCTACACCGGCAGCGTTCCCCGGGGCGGCAGCGGTGCGACGTAGCCCATGTCCGCGGTGTGGCAGAGTTGGTCATGCGGCAGCCAGGTGCCGTTTCAAGGCGTATCATTGTGATAAGTGCGGTGAGAAAGGACATTTAAAAGTTATGTGCCGTAAGTTCGAAGGTGATCGCGAATCAGAACAATTAAGAACAACTAAAGGTCAGTTTTTTTTAGTTGACTCCGATACAGAAGATAGTCTAAACTTTTATAATTTATCCTATGATGGTGAGGACAACCCATATTACATTAATTTAAAAATAAATAATTATTCAATGCAGTTCGAAGTTGATACTGGTTGTAAGTTTTCGGCTATTTCAAAGTCATGCTATGATGTTTTGTTTTCTAAAGTACAACTGCATAAAAAATCTCTAACGTTAAAGTCATATACCGGCAATGTAATAACACCAGTCGGATATATTGTGGTGCAAGTTACTTACAGAGCGCGATCGGAAAATCTTCAACTTTTTGTAATTAAAAACGGTGGTCCGCCTCTTAATGGGTCGTACTTGGATACGGCTTTTAGGTGTAAACATAAATGATTTTTACAATATATCCGATGGTTTAACAGAACCTATTGACATTTTGCGAAAAGAATTCTGCGATGTTTTTACCGATGGGCTTGGGACATGTAAAATTCCTATACAGTTACATTTGGCAGATAAAACTCCGGTTTTTGTTAAAGCGCGTCCGCTGCCGCTCGCGTTACGGGCGCCAGTAGAACGAGAGCTAGAACGTTTGCAAAGCGACGGTGTTATTTACAAAGTGGAGCGTTCCGATTATGGAACCCCAATTGTTCCTGTTATTAAAAAGAATGGAGACATACGCATTTGTGGAGACTACAAAATAACCATTAACTCTCGATTAAAAGATTTTCATTATCCACTTCCTCGCATAGAAGAGATTTTTGCTACATTATCGGGAGGGACGGTATTTTCAAAACTCGACTTGTCCCACGCCTATCAACAGTTCGTATTAACAGAAGAATCTCAGCCGATGACCGCAATAACCACACATATAGGAACTTTCGTTTATAAGCGCGTCCCTTTTGGAATTAAATGTATACCCGAAAATTTTCAGAAAATTATGGAAGAAATTCTTAATGGATTGCCGTCAACGGTTGTATTTCAAGATGATATTTGTTGCTCTGGAAAAGATAAAGAAAGCAATCTTAAAAACTTAAGAGCTGTCTTGAGTAGATTAAGAGATGTGGGATTACGTGTTAACTTGTCAAAATGCGAATTTTTTCAAGATAGTGTTACATATTTAGGATACCGTATAGATAAGAACGGCCTACACGTAGATGATAAGAAAGTGGAAGCGATTGTGGCCGCTCCCACCCCAAAAGATGTAACACAATTAAAAAGTTTTCTTGGGCTCGTGAATTTTTATGCCAAATTTTGTATTAATATAAGCGACATATTAAAACCCTTATACGATTTGCTCAAAAAAGATGTTAAATGGTTTTGGGATAAACGGTGTGAAATTGCCTTTAAAAAGATTAAACACATATTGAGCAGTGGTCCGGTGTTGGCGCATTATGATTATAAATTGCCGTTAATACTTTCTGTGGACAGTAGTGCGTACGGTTTAGGCGCGGTGCTAATGCACCGCTATCCCGACGGCTCAGAGCGCGCGGTCAGCTGTGCATCGCGCACTCTAAACGCTCATGAGCGCAACTACTCGCAACTAGATAAAGAGGCGTTAGCGATTGTGTTTGGCGTAACAAAGCACCACCAATACTTGTTCGGTAGACATTTTTTACTGCGTAGCGATCATCGTGCTCTTAGTTTTATTTTCGGTAAAAACAAAGGCATTCCACAAACAGCGGCAAGTCGCTTACAACGATATGCAATTAAGTTAGCTGCATATAATTTTGATATTGAATTCGTCCCATCATCGAAAAACGTTTTTGCGGATGCCCTTTCGCGTCTACCTATGCAGCGGACAGTAAGAGATGCTAGTGATACTTTCGAAGGGAGTTATTTTAATTTTATAGAATATCGATTACCGATCACGTTTCACGAAATTAAAGCTGAAACTCTTAAAGATTGTCAATTAACAAAGATAGCTGGATATGTAAAATTTGGCTGGCCAGAACGTATGCAAAATGGAAGCGAGCGAGTATTCTTTAATAAAAAGGATAATTTGTTTCTAGAACACGGTTGCTTGGTTTGGGGCTATCGTGTTATTATACCCAAAACTCTTAGAAGTGCTGTACTACGTGAATTACATAGCGGTCACATCGGCGTAGTAAAAATGAAACAAATAGCTCGAAATTATTTATGGTGGGAGGGATTAGACAGTGACATAGAAAAAATATGTCGCGATTGCAACGCTTGTTCGTCGCAGCGCAGTGAGCCGCCGCCCGCGCCGCTACACTCTTGGCCATGGCCGACAGAGCCTTGGACCCGTCTTCATGTCGATTTTTTAGGGCCGTTTAAGAATAAATATTATTTTGTCTTAATTGATTCCAATACAAAATGGATAGAAGTGGAAAACGTTTCGAGCACCTCAGCACAGGCAGTTCTTTCTTGTTTGCGTAAAATTTTTTCACGTTTCGGTCTTCCGAAATCCATAGTTAGTGACAACGGTCCACCCTTCTCTTCAAGAGAATATTTAAATTATTTAGAGAGTAACGGTATTAAACGCATTTTAGTCGCCCCGTATCATCCGGCGAGTAATGGTGCGGCTGAAAATGCAGTTCGATTAGTTAAACAAGTCCTTAAAAAAGCGTCTGTTGATAATGGAGATTACAACACAGCTCTGTGTAAATTTCTCTTTACATATAGAAATACAGAACACTGTACGACACAAAAAGAACCTTCAGTTTTGCTGTTAGGGCGGCGTTTACGTGGTAGGCTTGATCTTTTGCGTCCAGTAACCGCAGATATAGTTAAGGAGAAACAGAGCATTCAAACGGAGAGGAAAGGTGGAGTTTCACGCAACATAGCTCCTGGCGATGCTGTACTTTTCCGTGATTATTCAAATAAAGATATTAAATGGAAGGAAGGGGTGGTAGTAGATAAAACCGGACCTGTGTCTTTTCGCGTTAACACTGAGGATAATAGGACCGTCAAGAAACACATAGACCAAATTTTAAGTAAAACGTCTCGAAAATCACGCCATTCTCTATCCTGTGTGAGTCCAGCCCTTGCTAAAGGTTCAGAGGATATAAATGAAGATGTTAACGATGGTTGGTCAACTCCGTTAAATGAATCAGTTTCTTCGGGAGATAATTTAGTTTCTTGCACCCTAAATAGCAATGTGGAAGGAAATAGTGGGGGTAATAGTAATAGCGCTACCCTTAGTAATAGCGCTACACCAACTCCCTTAAGTATTGCAAAAGATGAGTTTGCAGAACGTCCCGGACAGACGCGCCAACAACGAACTTACACTCCGCATGCTATGAAATTAAGATCCCGTCTTAAAAATAAGTAATTTAATAGCGTAGGCAAACCTTCAAAAATATTATTAAAACTCTTTGTCGCTCATATTATGCATATAAATTATGTTAAACTATTTTGTACCTAACTAATAATAAGTTATTTTATATGTTATGTTCCTTTAATGCATTGTACTTCTATTGTTCACATCTCCCTAACCATTTTTTTGTTTTTAGTTTTATTTAAATTTAAATGATATTGTTTTTGTTTTAAGAGGAGGTAAATGTCATGTTTTTATTAGTTTATTCGATGCTACCCGCAAAAACTGTCACAATAATCTGTGTCTTGGTAAAATACATCAGTTTGCAATAGTCCGTGTTTCATTCGATACATTACAATATGCATAGTAAAATTTTCCCTATTTAGTTCCACTGACCGAGTATCTAGCACGGAAAAGAGTTTCGCCACCCGGTCCGTCTCTATAAATCCTTAAACAGCTTGTAAATAAATCAAATCCACCCCGTTTCGCCCTCGGGCGGTGCAGTGCGCCCGTAAGGAGGGGTAATGCGAGTTAAGCGGCCATTTGAGGCGCTCTGCTCGTCCCCGCCGGCGCTGGCGTGATGAATGTGCAGCCGACGGGCCTTGCTTTCGACTCGGCACATCTGAAATGCACCTGTTTATTGTTGTGCGGAAATTGAACACGCTGTCCAAGCGATTTTACAACATCATTCAAAAATAAAGGTTAAATAGGAATACATATCGTAGGAAGTTTTTTATATATTGGTGTATCGATCATTCCTGTGTTTAATAACATAAATTTTCTCCCTCAAGAAACTGTAAGCAGAGTTAATCAATAATTAAATTTGTTGGGAACTTAAACGCCTCCGTCATTCCGAGACGACGGCTAAAGTCACGCCAGGAATTAAAGGCACAGTTCATCGCATCAAAAACCTTTAAATTATTTTATCAAAGTTCTTGGAGTGGTCGTTGAAAACTCTAAAACGACTACATACTTTAAAACGACACACAACAACACATCCAATGGAGTGTAGCTTGAAAGGTTGTATTTAAAAAGTCCGTCGATATACTTAAGGAAAATTGCCAACCACCGAACACTGGCAGCAACTTTGCGGATTTATGAGAAATCTAATAAAAACATGTCGTTTCAGGTAAGACAAGCTCCCAGTCAGCATATCGGGGTCACGTGCGCAAATTCATAGAGGTTTGTTGTTCCCAGCTAATACCACACAAAGGAGCCTTTATTTTGTTTCATCGAAGGAAATTGTTATGGGCTTTGAGGCGAAAAATATATGCCAAATGTTTCGTAATAATGACTTTTAAAGTACTATAAAGTATAAAAATGTTTCAGCAATAGTTTTATTACCGGGAACCACTATTATTTTTGCTGATGTTAACGCTCTCAGTCCCGAGATTATTAAAGAACCCACGGGTTTGAGGCCCTCCACAGTAATTTTAGTGGATAAAACCCTATTAAACGATATTGATAGAAACAAAAAGTATTATACAATATAATATTGTACAAAAATAACACATTTTAATCCGCCCTCTCCCCCACGTCGTATATTGGAGCGAGATTGCGGAGTGACGCGGGATTGTGACAAGCGGTGGTTTAATTCCACGTCCATAGACCAGTGACCCGGAACACGAGTGGTCAAGTGACCTGCGGGGTCGAACGATTTCTTTAACAATCAACATGAAACTAACGCGACCCTAAGCTACGCGCTCGCGTTTTTCAGACTTCGAATGTACTGTACAAACAAACAAAAAACCATTCTTACCTTTGAATCAAATGGAGACTATGCTAGGACTAGCATCAATGAAACGGAACTCATTGAAATGAAACGACTTGTTTAGTTCCACTTTGAACGAAGGAGCGGATGCTTACAGTTGCGAATAAGAAAGAAATAACAAAAAAGGGTACTAAATAGTACTCAACATGAATTGCTGAATTTCAGTGAATACGAGAAATTTCAATAAAATTATAAATAACAGATAACGTACAAAATTTTTAATTAACACATATCAGGTACATTAACTCATAGACAGTATCTTATATAAAAATATAAACGAACAAACGGAAAAGAAAGAACATAATTACTTGTCTAAAACGCTAACCTACTAAAACAAAACAAAGATAACAAAAACTAAACATACGACATAAGGCGCACGTTACTGGGGATGAAACCCGCGAACTGAGATTCTCCATCTCCGACGTCTCAACTTCTTAACTACCCATTCATTCTCATCCGATATACTTATATAATTAAAATTAATTATGCGCACGGCAATGTGATGGAATAATCTGCCGCGGAGCTGTAGTCTTTCCGTCCAAATGAACGTCGGCATCTTCATTGCAAGTGAATGAATGGGCTTGCACGAAACTGAATGAATGAATGAATATTCTTTATTGCACACACCATGGTAAAAAGAATACATTAAAAATAACAATTATGTAAGGGTTGTACAATGGGCGGCCTTATTACTTAAAGCAATTTCTTCCAGGCAACCTTTGGATGGACATAATATGAAAAGAATATTGTGTAAAAGAAACTGTAGTGCGTTCACCGCAATGGAACGTCATTTGTATCTTGTATTAACTGATGTTTGTGCTTTCAGTCCCGAGACTATTAAAGCTTCATCTGACGCAGTGAACGTCATTTATGAACAACGATGAAACACTGTTCTATTTTCTTATATAAACACGTAAGCTTTTGTCTCACTACGTATTCTCACACCCTCTGTAAAAAGGTATTTTCTTCGCATTGGGACAAATATGTATGTATTGTTTTTATAATTAATTTTATTTTATACTGCTGAACTATTTTATTTACACATTTGTTTTATTCATTCAGCCACGGCAAAATATTTTAGGTACAGGTTAGTTTCAACAGTCGTGGCCGCCATAGCAATATACATATGTATGCAACGTCACATTTAGGCGGGAAAAACGACAAATTGAAAAAGTTCGCCCCCAACGCAGCGCGCGGCGCCTGTGGTAAGATCGCCACATTATTTTTATGGCAGCACTCCGGAATCTTGACTTTACTTTTATGCCAAACGTTTCAATATTTAATCGTGTTTACGTCTCAGGCATATGTTTTATAACGCTGAATTCCGTACGACCGCTCTTTTGATCTAGACGTGACGAAAAAGGTATATATTTCTTTATCTCAGGAAAAGGAATGTTGTTGAATATTTTTGTCAGGCTTCGATTGATGAAAATGATCAAATTTAAAGTAACGATAATAAATATAAACTGAGAATATCTGCTTTTGAGTTACATGCTTGTAAAGTATGTATTGATACAATTATTTTTAGAGGTAGTCTATTTATTCCGTGCTAGTCCTTGAAGCGTTGCCACCGATTTTACACTCGCCTGCGCAATCACAATCACAATAGATGCCTAGGTTCGCAGCCTCTAGCAAATGTATTCATGTACTTAAAGTATATTCGTGAAGAGTGACTGTTCAGGAGAGACGCAGCGTGTCTCTATTTTTTTTACTTACTGAGTTTATTGCTTAGCGCCCCCGACTTTGCACGGGTGCTATGTATTATCCATATTAACTTCCTCTTTAATGATTTTATCTAGTAAAAAAAACACATCAAGGTCCGTTGCGTAGTTTAAAAGATCTAAGCATACATAGGGACAGACAGGCAGCGGAACGACTTTGTTTTATACTATGTAGTGATAAAGTAAATATTGTACGACGTGTGCAGATAGTGTGTAGTGCGTAAAAATAGTCTTACGCACGCAATTTGATTACGATATATCTTCTTACGTACATCCAACCTCAACTTGACGGTCATACCATTTCGTTCCTATTGTGACAGAAAAGGACATAATATGATTTAAAAAAGGATAGCAGCGAAAGGAGATTTGATACAGGTTTTTCTGAGAAGGTTAATTGAACCTTTTCTTACCTGGAAATAAAATTATCAGAGCTAGTGAAGGCTTCGTACTGAGAATCTGATCCAATAAAAGTGCACCCTTCATTACAATTTATACTTAACTTTTAGTTGAGTGCCGTTATTTAACTGTAGCATTAAAGTCACCAGAAAAAAGTTAAATCTTTTATATTCTGCTGAATATTATTTGGGACACAGAGTGTACGAGCAAATTTAAGTTAACTCCACACCCCAAATTTTATTACTAACACTCGTTATGTTACGTAATACAAATATAATACCAGGTATAGCCGAGATTAGATATAGTTTGCGGCCTTTTAGCTTGATGAAGTTTTTATGCTGCTATTCTCTGCATTTATGGTGAAACATTATACACACTCGTGTATTTTTATTTTCTAAAAAATTTAACATATTAGTGCTGTAACAATAGCTTTTAAATATATTTTTCCATTTCTTACACACATTACTTTTTTCATAGTGTTTACATAATATGGAAAATAAATATTTCAAAAGTATATGGAATTATTTCCGAGCTGACGACACTGAGGTTTACATCAATGTTAAAGTGATTGATAATAATAAAGTGTTGTTAATTTACTGTACCTTAATTACTTACTGCCCTTCGTGTTAAAATTTTTATTTACGAATTTATGAGGAACTCCTCGCGAGTTCGCATCTTTGCGTGTTGAAATAGCGTCTCGCGAGGGTTGAGCGATCTCAGCTAGTCAATCTCGCTGGTAACTATAATGAAGCTCTCGTACAATATATAACACTGAGCATATTTCCATTTGTACACATTTCCTTTTCTTATCTAATTTTATGTTTTTATGCCAATATTATATGTCGTTGAATCGAGACTATTCTCGAGATTTTTGATTTAATTTTGTATTTAAATCCCAAAAAGATTCAGCTCCATTACTTCAGTCGGTCTCATGAGTGAGATGTTTTTAACCAATCAGAACAATACTTATAGGCACTAGAAAGCGTTTGGATTTCCGAAATTTAAGGATGAAATTTCACGTTTTAAAATCGGCATTAAAATGGCTACTGAGTTTCGAGTTCTAACATAAATTATCTGAAGCGTCTCACCGTAGACAATTTCCAAAGTTAGTTACTTTTATAAGTTATTTCGATTTCCCCGGACGGTTCATAAAACGGTTTTTACGCGGACGTTATCCTGAAGGCGATCTCTTTAAGTTTAAAACAAACAGGTACGAACTTTTAAACTCGCCTTTATCTGAACCGCCCCCGAGGGAATTTAACATGACCTGCGTAATTTAAACCAAGAAATGCATAAGCTGTAAAAGACTTTAGTTTTTAGGGTTTCGCACCCAAAGGGAAAAACGGGACCCTATTACTAAGACTCCGCTGTCTGTCTGTCTTTCCGTCTGTCACCAGGCTGTATCTCACGAACCGTGCTAGTTAGACAGTGGAAATTCTCCACAGATGATGTATTATTGTTACCGACTATAGAAACAAATACTAAAAAACAGAATAAAAAAAAAACAGTAGGTCTCAAATATAACAAAATACAACAGACATGATTTTTTGACGTTTTTATAGATAATGCTAAGGAAGTCTACGAGTCCGACTTGCGCTTGGCCGGTTTTGTAACCCGTGGCGGGTGAGACAGATCGATTCTGAAAATATTTCAAGCTTGGGAGTTTCAAACTTTACAGGTTGATGCGACG